TGTATGTGTTTAATATGATTGAAAAGTGATATTGATAATTGACTGTAATGCATTTTGTAACTAAAATCATTTTGTACATATCTGTTCTTTTTGGTTAGAAGTTTGTTAAAATAGTAGATTCTTAGTATAATAAGATTTGGTTAGAATTGTAGTACTTTGGTCTTTGTCTTTGTAATTCGTTTTGTCATTGTCAATTTTATATGTATTTTGTAATTCGATATATCTACAAGCATTCATGGGCGACTCCAGCCGCATCTGCAAGGAGGGGTGCAGGTTTTCCATGGGGTGGTGCATGAGGGTGCCTTACTGCCCATTCTTCTCTGCAGTCTGCAACGCTACCATCCCAACATCACCATTATTTGAGATGGTCGAATCTGCATGTTCGTCGTTCCGTTATGTTTTACATTATATTGGCGTGTTTATATCGGCTTTCCCCATGTATCCGTGACTGGACAGTTCCTGTAGCACAGTACAGTAAATGTGTTTGTTAAAGTACAGTATATGGCTGTATAACAACCTTGACATGTTTATTATTTAGCCGTGATATTTAAATATAAACAATCTGAGTATTGTCTCATAGAAGTTCTATTCTAACCGCTATTTGAAAAGCAAGAAATGTATGGTCAAGCTTAGCAGATTTTTTTAGTTTTTATTTCGCAATCTTTTCTTAGTGAACTTTATGCCAACAATAACCTGTCCTACAGTGTAATGAACACTGTTAGGTCTGCGTTATCCTTGGTTATATTTCCTCTTGAGGGCTGTAATTTTGAATCCACCCCCTAGTGTGTCGACTGGTCAAAGGCGTTTTTACAACAAGACCATCATTGCCACGATATCATTGTGTGTGGGATGTAGCGATCGTGCTAAAGTACTTACACTACATTAGAGGACTTGCACCTCCGGCATGCTAATAGCATTGCTCTCTGGTCAACGTTGTCAAACCATTCACGCGCTGGATATCAGTGATATGCAAGTGATATGATTATTAGATTACACTGATATCGAAGGAACTAGACTCAGTTCCGAAATATCACATACTCGAACCGATCTGACCGCGTAGCTCAGTTGGCAGAGCATTGGGCTAGTATTCCAAAGGTCGTAGTTTCGATTCCCACCGTGGCCAGCCATATTTTTCAAGCCTACCTGGTGTGGATATACACTCAGAGTAACATCACACAAGCACAATATCTTTTCTGGCGTAGTAAACTAATATAACAATGCAAATATACCCCCAACAATTACCAGTAACGACATCTGAGCTTGGGATGTCTCAATCTCGTTCCCCGAGCCTGCGATCCTCGGGAAGGAACTGGAGGAACGCAGGCTCAGGGAACGAGATTGGGGATAACTGTGGTTTAATTTTCTAATTTTGTTATATAAGAATTACCATCTAGCGCAAACATGGCTTCCAGAATAGTGAAATGTAAAAGATGAAACATTTAATTTAATTTTTCGTTTATGTTTTTGCTTTTATTCAATTATTCTCGAGATCTGTTGCGAAATCTGCCAGGGAAAGACCCTGGCCTAAAGCAGTGGGTGAGCGAAGGTAATACCCTGGGTACGAGGTTCGGCCTGACCCTGGGGACGAGTTTGCAATAATTTTTGTTTTTGTAAAGTGGAAAAACCGCGTGGATTATTTTTGGGCGCCATATTTGATATATGTGCTGTTTGCAAACTGTGTCTCTGAATATTCTCATTTTTATGATCAGAAATTGTGTAAGAACCGAAGTATTATAAAGATTCAAGAAAGAACGACTCGAGGGAACAGTTGGGTGATATTTTTATCGATATTTGACCGTACGGGGAAAAGATAAAAAGCTGAAACTATGTCTAGGAAATGCGATGTTTGTAACAAGGTATTTTCTACGAAAGAAAATTTGGTGGCACACAAACGAACACATACTGGAGAGAAACCTTATGAATGTGATGTTTGCAACAAAAGATTTTCGCGGTCAGACGACTTAGCTAGACATGAAAGAACAAATACTGGTGACAAACCTTATGAATGTGATGTTTGCAACAAACGTTTTTCTCGATCAGGCCACTTAGCGATTCATAAGAGAACACACACTGGAGAAAAACCTTATGAATGTGATGTTTGCAACAAAAGATTTTCGCGGTCAGACGACTTAGCTAGACATGAAAGAACACATACTGGTGACAAACCTTATGAACGTGATGTTTGCAACAAACGTTTTTCTCGATCAGGCCACTTAGCGATTCATAAAAGAACACACACTGGAGAAAAATCTTATGAATGTGATGTTTGCAACAAAAGATTTTCTCATCAAAGTAGTTTTGCTAAACACAAAAGAACACCTACCGGAGACAAACCTTATGAATGCGATGTTTGTAAGAGGAGATTTTCACAATCTGGCAACTTAGCTTCCCATAAAAGAACACACACTCGAGAGAAACCGTGTGAATGTGATGTTTGCAACAAAAGATATCGATTTTTGCATTCAGACTACTTAGCTGTTGATAAGAGAACACATACAGGAGATAGACCTTATGAATATCACATTTGGAATACAAAATTTTCAGAATGGAATATCACATTTGGAACACAAAATTTTCTTCACGTTCAAAAATAAAAATTTCCCTGATGAGATTTACCAATTTCCAGAAAACATTAAAAACAGCCCTTAAATTCCGTCCTTGTGCTTTTTTGATGGAACATGTCAATTTCATTCCATATTATTAAACATGGCAGCTGTGCTTCGGCATTCAAGTCACAAAGAACTGAAAGACATTCGGCTTTTATTCTGTGGTGGCAAACTACACAGCAACGCAGCGTCAGAACAATTGTTCTTTTTAATATAACAAATTTATGGATGTTCACTGTTTACTTGTTTCTTCACGTTCAAAAATAAAAATTTCCCTGATTAGATTTACCAATTTCCGGAATGGTTGAAACACTGAAATAGCCTTAAATTCGGTCCTTGTGCTTTTTCGATGCAACATGTCAATTTCATTCCATATATTAAACATGACAGCTGTGCTTCGGCACTTAAGTCGCAAACACATTCGGCTTTTATTCTGTGGTGGCAAACTACACAGCAACGCAGCGTTCAGAACAATTGTGCTTTTTAATATAACAAATTTATGGATGTTCAACATTTGCAATTTACTGTAGATTCCACATACTGTTTACTTGTTTCTCCACGTTCAAAAATAAAAATTTCCCTGATGAGATTTCGCACATATGAATCACAGAAGTTGCAGAACTGACCAAATAGCGATATAAATACGTACGTATACTGTAAAAAACAAACAATCGTCGAATGGTTGGCCTGACGACAAATTTCCAAAATTCATCATGTGTACTGGGTTGATAACATAACCATAGACGACAGTTTCCGAAATGACCTGACGACAATTTCCGAAATTCATCATCTTGACATCCTATTTTTTAGGTATATGAATGTGTTAGCCGCGGTCAGCGGCTAACACAAAAATCGAAATTTATTAGGAAATTACAGAATGCACCACAATCAAACACACCCCATGTGGCACTGGTAATGGCTATTCGTCCTATATTTTCTATGTTGAATGCGCATAAATTATTAAATTTCACTGAAATAGTAATTACAATATCACGCTATATATGCGTATCCATTACACGTCCGACTATAGGCGGTGTGTCGTTGCGGTGGTGTCATGGAAGTATAATGTTTTCCATGCACTTTCCTTTTTCTGTATTCAAATTTGTCTGCCCAATGAACAACGCTGTCTTTATAATTTTGTTATCAGATTTTATGTATAGAACTTAAACATATTTAATTAAAAGCATGGTTGAGTAAATCTGGATACAATTTTAAGTGCATGCTCAATTTGCTTTTATTTGAACATGCATGTTAGTGTATCTAGTGCATAGAGATTATAAATAACACTAGAGGGGACATCGTTATCTAATTCAGTCAAAGAAAGGGAACGCGGCTATTGGGGGGCATAAATTATAATGCTAAAATAAGAGCGAGTTTGAGCTAAAATCTCTAAATTCTTGTTTGTTGCAGTTAAGGTTACAGAACACCTTTGAGTGTTAATTTTGCCTAAAATTTTTTTATTGGTTTCAATGAAAGCATTAGACTAGTTCTACAATCTGACCAAGTTTGAACGAAAAATGTTGAAAACTCGCAGAGTTATTTAGTAAAATACATTTCGCTGCAATAAGAAAAACATTGAAAATGTAATATTCAAATTCAATTTTCTCACGAAAAATTTTATGGTAATTACTGATTTTCAAAATTTTACAAAATTTTTAAAAACTTTTAAAAACTTTCAAAAACGAACTGAAGCGAAGCATGCTAGAACAAATATATAAGTAGATAATTTTACCTTGTTAAACTTTATACAAATGTCTTACCTTTTTACCTTAATTTAAATTCTAGATTCTAAAACTTGTAAATAGAACAACATTTATTTTTTGTAAATCTGTGTTGAAAATCCCTATTTAGGGAACACAATAAAGTATGTATGTATGTATATACACCTTGTTGTTGGGAAGGCTAAAATTGTCAAATAGATCATCATTCATAATAAGCTTTCACAATACCTCCAATTTGTCATTTGTGACAGGAAATAAAATCGAGTAGTGTATTGGTTATCGGAAACTGGTTATAAGATGGCAGAAATGGCTGCCATGTTGTTTTCCGCTTTGATGAACAGAATTTCCTCAAAATTTCAGACAACTTCCTACCGGCGTTACCGGCGATTACTTCCCGGAACAATTACGCCATTTTGAATTACCAGCGCATTTTACCCGCGACAATTAAAATAGACTCCCCTTGTAGCTGCTGCTAAAGATCCTTATTTTATTCCATTGTGTTCTACAGCACATTAATTAAACGATTGATCTCTTAAGTCTAAAACAAATATTTTGTTTAACTTTCTCCCTCGATATCTGTCTCCCCTCAACTAAATTCAACTGATGTGAATATTAAACATTCGGCTGTAATACGACACTGTTCCGACACTGCACGCTATGTTCCCCCCGTTCATACTCCAGTTACGCGCGAAGACAAATCGCTCGTTGTACAATATCAATAATTTTATAATGTTCCTTTTAAGAACATATCAATATCCACGCGTGTATTTCTCATGTGCAAACTTCGTTACAGTATTGAACTTAACAACAAGAAGCGTTGCGATATCCCATTCTCTTTCATTAATCAAGATCCAGTTCTATAACCCTTCATGAACAGCATGAATAAAAGAATGCGCCGAACGGCATCGGATGCATGGTTTAAAAGAACGTGTATGACGCACAAATATTAAGTTACAACTAGACTTCAATGACACTGTGTTCACCCTTTTTGTTAACTATATCCATAGAGTTTGAATAAATCGAACGCAGTACAACAATAGTAGATCATTTTAATCTCTAAGAAACTGGTAGTTGAAAACTGTGTAAGTCAAATGATATGAATAAATCATTTGTATGAAGAAGTATGAACATATACAACCTCAAATACCCATAATTATACAGTATACAGTAAGTATAATCTTGATTCTTGACAGGTCTCTGCCAGTGTAGGCATGCAGTGGCAATAATAAAAAAGCCTCGGATTAGTAGGAATGCAACTACCTGAAAAATACAAAGAGAAATAGAGATTTCTTAATGGGAAGTGCTGACGTATGGCATTTTCGCACGCGTTAATTTGTTTTCACAAAATGAATGAGCGAGTGCAACGAGCGAGTGAGTTTTGCGAAAACAAATTAACAAGTGCGAAAATACAATACAAAAGCACTTCCCATTACTAAATTAATTTTGTTTATTTTATAGATACTGATATTTTTTATTAAAATGGATTACCTTTATTTAACATAATTTGGTTCATTGAAAAGTCAAAGGCCATGCAAAGTCAAGATAAAGCACTGCAAAATGCAAACAAAACTTTATTTTGGCATTGTATATTTCCTTTAAATCACTTGTAAAGGAAAATTATACTTTACTCTCAAACTAAATTTGACATTAATTGGATTTATGAAAT